TCTGAGAATAGTATTCATTTACGAGTGTATTTCTATTTTAAATTTGTGGGAAAAGTTACTGCACCAGATTAGCAACTTAATATATCTAGTGAACCAACTGTTGATGGGTCCTAGAATAAAATTCTTACAGAATGTAGGAGACAGAGATAATATTCATTTTCTTGGATTAAAAATAAATACTATATTTATAATCTCACAAGCCTCATTAAATGGTGTCTTTACTTATAAATCAGAAAACATTTCACATGTTTTTCAAGTAGAACAACAAAGGTACAGCTCAGAACGTAGTGACATCTAATGGCAAAGATATCATTATAGGCCCAAAAATGTATTTCCTAATAACATGATATTTGTAGTAACACTAATACGTTGTGTACCATCTGACATATGGTGATCCAATAGAAATGAGAATGTCTTACTTTTAAAAATAAAGTAAAATACCCAGATATAGAAATGAAAAATCTGGATTAAAAAGTGTGGATTAAAGACTGCAATATCCCACTAAATAAATTTTGATTAACATACAGGTTAGAAGGCTGGCCAAATAGCTCAGCAGATTAAAGTGCCTGTTTAGGCAGACGCAGGAGCTGGGGTGGGCTGACCCCAGGCAATTGAGACTGGGTGTGGTGGCTGGAGCCTGTAATCCCAGCAGTTGGGAGGCTGTAAACAGGAGGATCACTATGAGTCTGAAACTACGCGGTGAGATCCTGTAGATCCTGTACACCCTGTGGACCCTGTACTAAACACAAAAATAAATAAATAAGTAAAAATAAAAACATACAGGTTAGAAGTAGAATTGAGTGTGATATATTTTTCCTTTGCTCCCAAAAATTTCAGTTGGTTTCTACTTTTTGGACAAGTTAAATGTGAATCACCTTTATTTGTATTGATACTTAACATTTCTATGTGATATTTATTGGATATGTATTTGACTTGGAATAGAAAGCAAAGATTCTCAACATAACTATCAATCGTGTTTTTACTGACATTTCTCATTAATAACATTGTCGATCTTCATGCACATCTGAAATTCCAATACTTATACTGAAGATGTGGAGAAGGGTCATACCAACATATGCATTTTAGTATATCCTAAAGTTCCTATTGCTTCCCCAAAACTTAGGGATCAATAGCTACGTTAAGTAAAAATGGGATGAAAAAATTATTGAGGTATATTCCACAGAGACCCCCATGACTCCTGGAGGGTATCATCAACCAATGCGGCTCATTTACAGTTGAAAAGGAAATGGTGGGTAGAAAACCAAAGAGAGTTCTGGGACTGCATCGGCATTCTGGTTCTTGCACTATAGTTCTCCACTCAAAAGGAGGGGAAATTGATGCTTGAAGTTTGCCATCACCTAATGTTTGTAATGTTTTGACACGTTCTCCTCACGCAGCTTAGAATTCAGTTTGCAGTCTTTAATGAAAATATGATCTCAAGTGTTTCAGATATTCTATAAATTGTTTTAGGCTTTTCATACTGTCACAGTGGATGATTATTATCTCAGAGGACAAAGCATCATCTGCTTGTGAAGAAATCGCGAGGAAATGCTCTTTGTTACTCCCTGATGACATAAGACATTTGACTATGACTGATAACACCCAGTATATTGGAGTGATTTGTGTAACATACGAATAAGCACAGTACTTGAATGTTCCCTTGTAGAGATATATAACTGAGGAGAGCTAATTTACAGTCATCTCTGTGAGCACAGGCACCAGATAGGGAAACGAGCATATATTAAACTGTTAAAACATGAGATCCTCCATATTAGATATGAAGCAAAATACAAACTGTGCAGTTGACTGGAAATGCCACCTAATCCCTGCTTAATTAAAGCAGTACTCTAAACTCCTACTGTGTTTAGGGAGTGCAGAGCGTGGGACGACCGATGTATGAAGAAAACAGCAGCCAGCGTGGCTAATCTCAAAGACTTTGGGGCTTTCTAGCTACATAAATCAGAGAGACTTCTGAATAGCCTCATAAAACACCATATCATTGCCATTCCACTCACGACTTTTTGGTTCTTCCTACAGCATGCAGATCATTAGGAAACTTCTAAGCAATCAAGTAATGTGGGTCTGATGAAATTACTCAATCAATGCACAGCCTCAAAGTAGAAGCATAATTCAAAACTGTGTAGTTTATAAAACTACAGGACGGAGGAGATCACAATGAGACAGTTCATTTCCAAACAACGTGTGTGTGTGTGTGTGTGTGTGTGTGTGTGTGTGCCATACACAGGGAGGAAGTGTGTAAACATTAAGTATCTGCAACATATAATTGCACAGAAACTGTAATTACAATAGTGTGAGTAATAAGTAGAATAAAAACATTTTTGTCTCATTCATTATGGTTTCACTGTTATATCTCATCATTATAGTGAACTAATGAGTTCAATGAAACAGATTTTAAAATATCTAAATTGGTTTTATTAAATTTCCTGCACGAAGTACAGAGAAAAGGAGAAGGTGAGAATTTTAAAACTTCATGGGATCTGGTTCAATACCAAAAGAATTCAGTGTTTAAAGAACCTTTTACAACAATGTCTTTAATCTTTCCAGTTTGCCTGAATTACCTACTGCAGCTACTTTCTGCTTGAACATATTGCGTGAGGCTAGGAAACCTTTCATTTCTTGCATATTAACTTAAATCTCTCTACATGGGCAATATTTCCTGTCCCTACAGTTTTATCACTTTCATCCCTTTAGTCCTGAACAAAACATTTCATCCTAATCTTATTTCTTACATTAAATACTTAACTGAACGTATTCCCCTCCTAACTAAAATGGTCTTTCCCTCCCCAGCCAAGCTCACTAACCCATGGCATGCTAACTAGTACTTGGCAGTTGCACTAGAGACATCTAGTTTGAATTCATCACACTTTTGCTGAAATTAGAGGTGGGAAAAGATCGGTGGTGAGCCCCCAAAACACACACAAATTAGTCGTTCTCTGCACATTATAAAATGCATGAAGTTTTCTGAGAAAATAGCCTTCACTGCAATTCTATGTAGTGTAAAACAAGATAATTCTCTTGTGTAATACACTAACTGCATTCAATTTGAATTGCCCGAGAAGCAACTATCTCTTTTTAGTAAGATGTAGAGAGTGAAGCTATGTATCTAGATTTCTGAGGCGATATTTAATTTGTACAAAGCTTCTTTTTAAAAATCTGGTTATAACAAAGCCACATCACACTGCCAGTAAATAGTGGGCAAAGGGAAAAATCCAACAGTTGTGTTCTATCTTGAAACAAATGCCCAGACTGCATCACAAAATAGCATTCACCTAGCAAAGGACAGAGAGCTGAGGTGTTGGTAAATAATGTATTCATCCTGTACACCACCGACTAAGCAATAAAGCAAGCATTTATTTACAAGCCTCCCCTCCTGAGGGATGAGAAGCATAAGTCAGAAATCCCTAATCATAAAATGAATATAGAGGTGTGATGAATATGCACCTGCAGTGTCGCTCCAGTCATTTACAATGAGACATAACGGTAAGTCTTTTCTTTAAGTGGAGCATAGTTCATTCCCAAACTCTTATCAGAACACCACTAAATCCCTCAGTGAGATCATAATTTCTCCCTGAAAAGTTCTGCCCCACAGGCAGGCACTGTTAGCTCCCAGGCAAAAAGGGATCCAGCGGACAAGCAATCTAATGCTTCATTTACTTAATGCACCAGTGCAAGGCTTTCTGATTCCTGACCTCATTACCCCTTGCACAGAAACAGTCTCCAGTTGCACGGTGAAGGCTCAGGCAGACATGTTTACCACGGGAGCCCAGTCCGCGGAGGGGATGCGCTGTGGGCCGCGCACCAGACAGAGCCCCCCTCGCTCTGGAGATTCCGCCGCCACCTGCAGCCCGCCCTGCGCGCGTGCGCTTGTGTGTGTGTGTGTGTGTGTGTGTGCGCGCGTGTGTGTGTGTGTGTGTGTGTGTGTGTGCGCGTGTATGTGTGTGTGTGCGCGCGCGTGTGTGTGCGCGCGTCTGTGCGCGCGCAGAATGCTCAGTGAAGGGGCAAGGGGACAGAAAGGAGACAAGCTGTGGCCCATCTGTCGCCTGGATTAGCAGAACACCCAGCCGAGTGGAGGGAGAAAAGTCCTCTGCCCAGAAACATTCCCCAAGCCCGGCCTCGGTGCGGTTCACCAAAGGAGCCTGTGCTCGCCCCGGGAAGCGAAATTTCCGCGAGGGAAAGCGTCGCGGACGGAGAGGGCCGCGCAGCGGCTCCCGCCAGCCCAGCCGCTTAGCGAGTGGGGACAGCCGAGCCGGGCCGCGAGCCCGCGCCACAGTGGCGCGCAGCCCCTCGCCCGCCCGGCCGGTGGTCGCCAGTAGGTGGGGCCGAGAGCACTCGGCGTCCCGGAGCCCGGCTTCTCCGGGCCCCGCGCCTGTGCGCCCCTCCGGACGGCGACTCACAGTCCGCCAGAGGCGAGAGGGGCGGCCCACGGCCTGCGCTCCCTGCGGTGTCCGCGCGCCCGGCCCGGTGTCGCCCGGGGCGCAGAGCTCCGCCGCCCGCCGCTCCCGCACGGCCGGACCCTCCTCGGCACGGGACCTCGGGGCCCGGGGAGCCAGGCTGGGGACACCCGCGCACTGCGCCCGCGACTCCGCCGGCTCACGTTGCAGAACCACCTGTTCGATCCGGAGGGAGCCCCGCACCCTGCTCCCGCGCCGCGCAGGTGACACCGCCCGCGTAGCCCCACAGATAATTTGCTCCCCAAATGGAGCAAAGGCACATACGAGAGAAAGATGGAAGGCAGACTCAGTTAAACTTCCTCTCCCCGCACACTCGCAGCCCGCACTCCCCACGCCCGCGCGCGGAGCTCGGCCCGAGTCGCCCACGCGCGGCCCCCTCCACGGACCGCTGTGCCGCGGAGCCCGCCGCACGAGGACGGCGGCGGGAGGGGAGAACGGGGCGGCCGCCGCCGAGCAGCCGAGAGCCGAGGGCAGGGGAGACGTCCGCGAGGCGCCCGCCAAAGTGTCCACGCGCGGCATCTTTCTTACCGATGTGAATGATCGAATCCGCATTCGCCGAGTCCCACGTTCGAGACCACCAGACGGCCAAGAGCAAGAGCAGCGGGCAAACTTCCATCTCCTCCTATGCTGATCCCCTGGAAGGATGATGCTCTTCCAATATTTTTTTTAATTGTAAAAATAAAAGCAGAACCAGTCCGAAGAGTTTGAGGTCACGATAGAGTTTGGCGCAGCTGCTGCTTTCGCTCCAAATCCCTGTCGCGAGCGGAGCCGTGTCGTCGCGGAGGCGGCGGAGGGACGCAGGGTCGAGCCAGCCGGGGACCTCCTCGCCGCGCCGAGCCACTTGGAGGGGAACTCGGCCTCGCCAGAGTTGTTCGCAGTTCGCCTTTTCAGAAACGCATCCAGCCTCGGCCGCTCGCGCGGGCAGGGGGCGAGGCTGCGGCTCGGCGCAGCCCTGCCGCGCGGGGTCGCGGCTCCCAGCCCCG